ATGCTTGCTGTGTCATGGCAGACGGTGTCGCCAGCAAAGGTTGGGGTTGCGTCAGACCAGCCGCGCCCATCGGCAACGGTGGTTGACAAAACGGTGAAGTTATGTATGTGGTTGGACCGCCAGCTGCACCACGCGCACCAGATTGCAACAGCGGAGTTACCGGCATGCCACCGCCAGCATTGCCGGCCTGTTGATGTGCGCCGGCGGCAAGCATTGACGTACGCGGCGCAGCCGTTAGTGGACCCGGCGGCAAGGCGAATATCGCATTTGCTGGCAACAAGTATGCGGTTTGTGGCTGCCGTTGATGTGGTGACGCTGTTAGTACGCCACGCAACTGATGTTGTTGTGGATGGTGGTGTGGGTGTAGATGTGGTGGCGGCGTTGGTGCAGCGCCAGCGCCCGTATGATAGTAGTGTGTATGCAGCGCTGTCTGTGGATGATGAAGCGCTTGATGATGTTGCTGCTGTTGTTGTTGGTACAGCGTTGTAGCAGCTTGTGTATTGGCACCCGGTCCGCCATGATTATTTGCAGCTGCAGCTGCTGCTACCGCGGCATTGTTGTTGTATTGTGCAGCCGCTGCAGCCGCGGCGATTACTGCCGCCGTCTGTTGATGATACTGTTGCAAGTAGTTGGAGGTCATGAATGTCGTACTCGTCGCCGGCGGTTGCATGAGCGCCGTCCCAGTCGCGTAATGTTGCATATTGGCGCCATTGTTGGCGGCAGCAGCTGCCGCCGCGGCAGCCGCCGCATGTTGTCGAGCGATATTTGTGGCGCTTGCACTATTGCCAGTGCTGACACCTCCACCGCCGACGGGTATACTACCTGCACCACCGCCCCCCACCATGCTGTGTGATTGAGTTGCGGACACAGACGACGCACCGCCAGCTGTATTGGACTGTGTGGGTGGTGACGGGGCCATTTGTGATGCCGTGACTGTTGCATTATTGGGCGCTTGCGGATGTTGGGCGGGGGGTGGCGGCGGCTGTGTTTGACTTAATTGATACGAATAAAAGGATAACTGCGGATGATGATGTGCTTGCTGTTGTTGCTGCTGCTGCTGCTGTTGTTGTTGTTGCTGCTGCGACTGTTGTTGATGTTGCTGATGCTGTTGATGGGTATGCTGGTGTGACTGATGGTGAGGGTGGTGGGAATGCGTTTGCTGGGGCGCTTGATGACCGTGATGCACGGACGACGGTTGTTGTTGTTGCTGCTGTTGTTGTGGCGGCTGCTGTGGCTGTGGCGCGTGTGGATGGTGCGATTGGTGGTGCGTTTGGTGATGCGACTGGTGGTGATGTTGTTGCTGCTGCTGCTGATGCTGTTGATTTGGGCGTATTCCCTTCCCACCCCCTCCCGTTTGAAGGAACATAGGAGGATCTTTGAAAGACCTAATTTAACAACAACAAACACAATCCCAAATATCGACGAGAGTTGGCGTAAGTTGAGGTGAAACATATGATGAGCACAATGAGGAATTGATAATGATTTTTGTTATGGATTTAAATTTGTTTATGTTTGATGATTTCAGGTTTAGATTTGTGGAAAATTGGCGGCAATCAATATTTTAGTTTTCATTTTTTTTTTTTTAGTTTTTTGTGTTGGGTTTTTGTTTATTTCGCGTTTGCATGGAATGAGTTGCGTTTTCATAAACATTGTTTTTATTTTTTGGTTTTTTATTCATTGTAGGAATTTTTGTTTGAATAGCAAGCAGTAATAAAAGAGAACAAATACAAACAATCGTATGTTAGTGACAATATCTTATGATTTACAAGGAGCATGATGTTAAGAGACGGAAAAGTGTATTTTTGCTGTCGCTAGTATGGCTACTTCGTTACTTATCGGACTAACTACAAAAGCGGACAAAAGCATCTATTGAGGACTAGGTTTACATACAGGCAAACAATTGTTCAAACAGAAAGCAATTTCCCAAATAATTTTTAAAATATAAAACTTAAAGGATAGACTCTTGATTGTACTCTATACTTTTTGCATAGTAATATAAATATTAGAAAGAAAAAAATAAAGAAAAAATAATTAACGTCAAGTAATAAAATAATAATAAAATAAATTTCACTGTCACAACTATTGTTGTTTTTTGAATAATTTTACATTTATCACATTCTAACGTTTTACTTAATGGTACTAAAGTAATTGGACTATATTTTGTTTTATTGTTGAATAAAGCACAGTTCGAATAGATGTACTTTTATTGGAAAAATTCGCAATTTGTATTTTAAAAAGTTAATTACAAACTAAGTACATGCGCTAAACTAAGTTTAATTATAAATATTGAATAAGGGAAGAACACACATCAAAGTCTACATTCAATCAAAATAAATATGCAAGGATTGACAGGGATACGTGCATACGCTGACACAAACATACATAATACAAAAATGTATTTTAAGGAAGGTGATATGAAAAATAATACATAAGCAAAAATTTCGTAAAGATTTCTTGTTATACAAAAAAATTTGCCATACAAGAATTTGATTCATATCGCTAAGTTTGTATGGCAGCTTTAGCGGTTCAATATCGGCGGTTTCGACAAGTGAGCAGCTGTTTGGGGAAAAATGCTATGAGCACAAATTCAGATCAATACTTGAAAATCTGAGAGGCTGAATTCGTGGCAGACAGACTGTCACTTAGTTGAGTAATCGCTGGTATTGATATTATATATACATATGTACTTTATGAATACATCCTCTTAAGGGTTTCAAAATTAAGATAATATATGTATCTAACTTCTGTTGTTGTTTAGACCCATTAAAGTTTTAACTGAGGAAAATAATTATTGGCAACCAGGCGATCGAAAATTATGCTTCGCTTATACTGCTCAGACTCTAGCGTATGAGATTGAAGAAACTGTCGAATTACCCCAAGTCATTAAAACATTCAGAGGCTTTTGAACACCACGCTCTGCCAGAATCATCTTGCAAATACATTTAGCAGAAGTTTCCGAAATCACTAACGGCATTTAACACTAACATCAATAGTTCTTCAAATATTTACTTAAAAGTTTACTCAAATTCTAAAATATTCTGTTCTCCTGGTACTACAATGCATGTTCATACATACAAACACATTGTATCTATGTATATGGGATAAAGTAAATTCAATAGTTGAAAATAATAGTATGATTATTGTATATTGTGTAATGATGTCATACACACTTATAGTATAGACTTTGAGTAGTCGAACGTCAATTTAGATAATTCAGTAATTGATACCGAGCACATGAACTCTTCCAAATGCTTATCACCGCATGAAATAAAAAAGCAAAACAAAGCAAAAACTTTAACGCACAAAATTAATTTAAAAATGTTTTTTTTTTTTGTATTTGCTTCTCATTGTTACATATGTTTTTATATTTATGCAATACATTGTTTCTAATAGATTATAAATATGTTGTCACTGTGACTGTTCGGTGTTTGTTGACATACAACAGGTGTTTTTGCTGACAAGCTAGTCGGTTCAATAAAGACGGCAGTAGCAAAACATTTGAGCATGCGTTTCCCATTAGCATTGATAAACTTTTACTTGCTTAAAATGAGGTTTAGCGTCAGTTAATCGAAAGACTAATATAACTACAGTTGTACCTTTGAAATCATTCACGTCACCTTGAAGCCAATGTGTGTGGGTGGTTGTTGTGCCATTTCGGCAAATAACAAAAGATTGTATTATTAATATGCACATGTGTATAGTATATACATACACCATTATAGCGTTTTAAAGAACACTTGCGTTTGCTTCGCAAAGGCAGAGTTGAATGACCACTTACAAACATACACACATACTTATGTATAAATCATCTCATCACCATTCATTATTACAATTAGTCATAGAACATTTTACTGTTTTTCTTTGTTCACTTATGTACAAAAGTGAAATAAAACGATGAAGGAGTGTATAGTGTTCTTATACTTTTATTTTGTGTAAATATAGTGAGCAAACTACGGGGTGTTTCCAATTTTTGACCTACTTAATTTTATGCGCTAAATTTTTATGCTTTCTTGTCAATTTATTTTTCGTGCGGCAAACAAAATAAAATGCATTCCAGACATAACTGATAGCAGAGAAATGTGGCACAAGGTAACGTGTTTTGGGAACGTAGCACGCGGAGGACAGGTTACTAATAGCTATATTACGAGGCATATGCTAGACGTAGACACTCTTACCATACATATACAGATTGTAAGTTAGAATTAATAATGCTAGAAATGCGATTTGAGCTTGGTATTTGACACTGAGAATGTACCATTTTATTTTTAGCTCAGTTATAACTAACTAAGCTTTTGAAACATAAAAAAATTATATGTTCCTAATTTGTATCATGTTTACAACCATAGAAGTTATTTTTATATTAATAAACCCAGAATAAGTAATAAGTAGTTCAAAATAATAACTCATTCTCACTGCTTTATCAAAGTGTCAAGTGTTCTTAAATTTTTTTTGTACAAATTCAAAAGTCAAAACAAAGTGATTTCGATAAATGGGAAGAGGCAAGAGGATAGTAGTTGCATATGTTTAAAATCAATAACAACAATAATAGCGAACATACGGGCAGGCAAAATAGTAAGCATGCTACCAGGTGAACGAATTCCTTCATTGACAGGATCATCGGATTATGTACATATGTACGAACACACATGCATGCAATTTCAATTCAGGAATTAGTTATTTATAAAAAAAAAGGCAACAACAATCCTTATGCGCGGTAGTTGGCAAATACTAAACAAAATTTTAGCAACAAATTTAAATGATATATTTTATTTACAAAATGTTAGTGTCAGCGAATATGTTTGTACGCCATTTGGGTGGCAGTAAAGGATCTACATAAATACAAATATTTCACGAACTAATATTTCCAAGACTTTGCCAACTGGGGTAAGGATACATATAAGAGTTTTTAGGAATATTTACTTTTAAAATACATACACACTATATAACAAAAACTATAGCATTAGTACAAGTATGCTAGTTAATCGTGTTTGCCGACTTACCGCTTCCTTTGTTGTTGCTGCGTCTTTTATGATTAATATTTGGTGCAATTCGTAGTTAAATTTTAAGACAGGTAGCCTTTAAGAAGACCTGCGGTAATAGGCTATGTTCGGCAGTCAACTGCCAAATATACCTTTTCACTTCACGGCTACAAAGGTGCCTTTTCAATTTTAGGTATGTATGTAAAGTCCTTTAATTTGTCGCGTATACGTGTTTTGAAGCAAATGATTTTTATTCGAATATTTATATTTTTAATTCGCTTATGTTTATTTGAATGTTTTATTTAATATTGATCGTTTGTCACAAGTCTATTGCAAAGTTATTTTGCAAGTTTTTCACTATTCTAAACTTTCTTCCTTTATTTTTTTACAAATATTTCTATGTAAAAAATTTTGGTTTGGTTTTATTATATTTAATACTTTTTTTGCCTTTTTTTGTTACAATAAAATGTTTTATTGATGAGCAGGTTTGGACGACAAATTTTTTTGTCGCCTTTGCGACAATTTCGCAAAAGTAACGGTCACGATTTTTCTGTTCCTATTTGTTTTTTTCTATTCTGTTTTGATTTCTTTTGAACTGCAAAAAAACAATATTTTATTCAGTTCAAATAACTATACAGCAGAGACAATTTCCACACAAATTCCAGGTAAATTCCTTCCGTTAACACAATGAGTACACCACGAACGAATGTGAATGATACAAAATAAAGCAACAAAGCGAAAGTTGTTCAAAACGTAAATTCGCAAAAAAAAAAGTGCAAGTATCAACGACACGGGCCGGCGAAGACTGTGCTGCTGCTCAGACATCAACGGCGATGAAGGCGGCACAAATCCACGCACAAGCCGCGAAATATAAACTCAAAACACACAAAACGCTATATTGCACAAAATAAAGAATCGACAAAAACACCCACGAAACACAATTCAAACGAAGAGAATGTAATCGAGAACAATAAAAAAAACCAAAAGCTAAACTGAACTAAACGAAACAAAGCAGACGAAGGAAGAAACGGCAAAAAAATGCAAAATTTTTAAGTTGTCTTGTGATTTTTAATGTAAACTGTTTTTCCCCAAAAAAAAGGAAAATGAAAAATTTTCAAATTTGATATTTAAAACGAAACAAACATGTTAGCAGAAATTTCTGAAGCGAAACTCAGCTCCGGTTAGTCGCTTCGGTTACAGCCAATACTCGTAAAACTTATTAATGCCCGCGCCCCATTTCCTCCTTCTTCTTCTTTAACTAAAATGCTCTACAAGCACTCCTTTCTCATAGCCACAAAGAAAATTTCATTTCTTGCAATATTTTGCCAAATTTGCACACACTATGAAAACACAACGATTCGCGGATAAGTCTTCTTACTTTTGTATAGATTTTACAAATTTATTTGGTATTTTATGCTTTTTTCACATAACACGAAAAATCACATCAACGCGCACGCACAAAGCGACGTGGAATGGAAGAAAAACCAAAGTGAAATGCAAAAATAACAGTGAATCCCAACGCTAGTGTTGCCAGAACAAAACCACTGAAGAGGGTAAAAAAGAGTTGGAAGCTATGCATATTGACCCATACGGGTGTAAAAGGATTTATGTAGTTTTATTTCGGTTCATTGCATTTATATTATCTTCAAGTAAGTGAATTTCATATTTTTTCATTTATTTTGCTTTGCTGTGAAATGTATAAGGAAAATCAATTCATATTTATTTATTAAATGAAGCTTTTTAAGTTATAATAACACAGTCCTCTTATCAGTGCGGTTTGTTCAAGGCAATAGCAACACTGCTGTGGAGTGTAGCTGAAGTTCCACAACCGCTATCGTTTTCGGTATTTTAATGTGGAAGAAAACGCATATGAAAAGAAACTTGCGATTGGTGTCTTGGCTATATGGTCTACAGATGGCGCTGTCACATCGAAGTGACCAGAGAACGTATATGAAGTGCAGAGAACGTTATAAAAATTATTTCACCACTGCAGTTTCCGTACGATAATGATTTTACGTTCATGACTAAATTCACGCAGCTATGGTGTATAAAACTTGTAATGTCAATAATTGCGCCAAAATATCACAATTTTTGAGAAATTTTAGTGATTAGTGCAATAATTCTTTTCCGGTGACGATTTATTATTAGATATAAAAATGCAAGCGTTTCTCGCCGAAAATTCAAAAGTGTGGTGATTCCGGTTGTGGTCTAAGCCGTTTATACTAAATAAAATTGAACCAGAAAAAAGAAATTTTAATATTGTAAGTGTAATACTTTTCATTATTTTACTGGTAAGTAGTGACCAATGTAAGGATGAAGGATTAACGCGGTGCATCCAAATTCTAACTTTGGTTAGATCAATTATAGTTCTCTTAACCATATGATTATAGAAATCCTTTTTTTCCAGTAGGATATTGATATCCATAAAAAAAACTCATGCGAAACAACCTAAATTTACTCACCGTTTTTGTTGTGAAATTTTTGTATCATTTCAGCGATATCGGCCGGTATTGTTTAATATTGAAACCGGTTTTACTAGCATTTATACTAAAAGCTTGTGAAATGAACGAAAACTCACACAGGCAGACCAAACTAGAAAAGCAAGAACGATTTAGAGATTAAACTTGAAATTTAGGCAAGTGATTTGGGATATTTGAGAAATGTGGGTATTAATATCAAAGGTTGTGTAAAAATCAACGAAGTTACTAATATTTTTATACCTGTCTTTTAACGGTTTAGATCAGATTCCAAAGCGTTTTCCCCAAAACTTACGTGCTCTAAGTTGTTGCATTTCATAACTTTCAAACTGCTGCATCGCTTCTCTTGAAACTTCGAATACCTTTGCTGCAGATAATTTACAAGTTAACGCTGGATAATTATTTAATATTTTTAAAAATATTTTTTTATTTTACAATAACAAAATAGTCCATTTTTATATCAAAGTTTTCCAAAATGGAAAAACTGAAAATTCGAAAAACCCTCTCGACGTTACCTGGAGAGAACTATTATCCAATGAACCTTAATATTGTACTTAGAGTGATCCAGCACCAACTTACATATGTGGGACATCGCAATCCTGCTTTTAGGCCGTTAACGCGGCGTTTTTCGAAACATTTTAGTGTATTTGGCGCCAAGCGTGCTTTCACATTTCTTATGTCCAAATGATCTTTCAAAATGGTTTTCATTGATCCTTCCGATATTGCGACAATGCCAGTAAGATCTCTGGCTACTAATCATCGATACTCAAGCAGCAATTCCTTTATTTTATTGACGCGTTCCCGACCTTATTTAAGTAACGCTGTGAACGTTCTTTTTTTAACCGCGTTTTCAATAAGAGCTTTTTTACATAAAACCAAAAGTGTATTCGATGCCATTATGTACGGCAATAGATTTCTTTTGCATGGCCACCACGGCCAAACTTGCAGAAGTCCAGACGCTGAACCTAATTTTCGACGGTTTTCAAGCATAAAACGGCCGATACTGCTGCAATTTCACGTTCGAAATTTGCACGAAGTTCATCAAACGTCGTGCTGATAACACGTTCACCAAGCTTGGCTTGCAATAAATCGATTGTGACATTCGCCGTCTGGCTTGCGGCGCCATCCTGTTGGAAGCACATATGGTCCAAGACCATATCATCCAATTCGCTGCAAAAATATTGGGTTATCATTCACAGTAACGTGCCGATCTTGATCATCACGGAAGAAGTACGCCTAAAACCGCACCAAACCGCAATTTTTTCGGGTATGCTTTGGTGACTCATGGAGTACCTGTGGATAATTTCGTCTCGCTGATGGTTCGTATATCTTTCCATGGCGAAATGGCAAACCTTACTGAAGAGAAATGTCAAAAGAGCGGGAAAAATATGGCCTCGTTTGCGATCCCTATCGATCTACTTTTTAGCGTCAATATTGAAAAATCCGTTACTCGGTATTCACTTATCATTCTCACTGATATTTAGTAAAGATTCCAAAAAGTAACACTCAAATCTCCTCTTCGCGGTTGACATATAATATCATATAAATCTTATTGAAAGCATCAAAATCGTGAGCTTTCGCTTCTGATACTATATTTATAGGCCAGTTACTTGTGTCATTTTACACTTGGCACTGTAGTAGTGGGTAATGGGAATGTAAAAATAGAGTTGCCATTTTTTTTTTTGTTATGAATAATAAAATTAAAAAAAATATATATAGTGGCTTAAATTATTAGTCTGGAAATGAAAATCCATAAAGAATCACGTTAGTTCTATTTGTTTAGTGTTATAACGATTAGTTACTGCCCCAGAGACATGTTTGAAACGGCTATCGGCTCCAGGCTGTTTTTTCGTTTTCATTGGGGATGGCTTCTACCTGTCGTGTTCCAAGTCCAGCGCGATACTTCTCTAAACAAGTAGGAATTACGTATAGTCCTACAACTGTAATTGCTTACCAAGAAACATAACTATAAACCATGGATTGCAAGTAAAGGAGAATACTTATAAAATCAAGTAAATTTATTTCTGTTTATAGTCTAATTGGTTTTACCGTGCGATTCTGTACTGTGATACAGTGTCTCTAAATTTGACAGAGACAATTTTTGAGACTTGAGACGATTTTGCTATTCTGTAAGTGATAGTCACAAACTCTATTAC